CAGCCCGCCCTCAGAGCTACAGAAGGTCCGGTCCAAACCCCCACAGCAAAATGAGCCTCACACAGTCTTTGCTTCTCAGTGCACATAAACGCGATGGTGCTGTAGCCGAATGCAGTGTCCAGTAACACTTTGAAGAATACATTGATATGGTGAAACTGGCCAAAACATGACAGAGCGGCCTGAAGCGAGCAGGTGTTACAGAAAAAAGGAGCACTCATAGGTGCATGTCGACAGTGTCGCCCGACCTTCAGGTCATTAAGAGAAAAAGTAAGACAAACTTGGTGTCTGCACGGCAAATGCAATCCAGTGAGATGTGTCTGTACAGAAGGCGACAATTGCCGTCAAGACCTCTTCCATAAAGAAAATTATAGAAATCACCAATTATGGAGTAGATTCAGCATGTCGCGCAACCATCATCAGTAGTCCACATCACCACAAACAGAACCTCTGTCCTTCCTAAGCAGTGACCTCCTCGCCACACATCCTGCTCTTGGCAAACACTCGTGAACTCCGGTCCCTGTATGTTTGTCGCTTGGAGATATTTCCTGTGAGTTAGGTCATGCCATATTTGTCCTTTTGTGCATTATTGCATTCAGCCTAATGTTCACCCCTGTGGCCGATGTGCCAGGCCCTCATTTCTCTCTCTGGCTAAGTAATATCGTTTATGGGTCTGTGCGTTTCGTTGATCCTTTCATCAGTTGATGGAGATTTCTATGGTCTCTACCTGTCGTTTGTTGGGAGAGAGCCACAGTGACCCCTGGCATGCACATCACTGCCATCCATCCTCCTGGATGGGTGCCCATTGGGCTATCTCTGTGCTGAACTCTTGAGAAGCCACTGGCTTGTTTCCCACCTTGCCTGCCCCGTGTTCTGTTCCCACCAGCAGTGCAGAAGGTTTCTAATTTGTTGACAACGTCTCCAACATTTGCTTCATTTGTTTGTTTGTGCTTTTATTTTAACTCTCCTGCTGGGGATGGAGTGGTATCTCGTGGTGGTTTTGATTTGCCTCTCCCTAACAGCTAAAGGTTATAAGAAAACACTTTTTGTGTGCCCATTTGCCATCTATAGCGCTTCCTTGGTGAAAGATCTATTTACATAGTGTGTTTTGTCTTTTTGTTCTTAATTTGTAGGATTGCTTTAGATAGTCTGGAAATGAAACCCATATCGGATAAATGCCTCCTCGATGTGTTGTCCCAGTCTGTATATTGATTCTTCACTTTGTTTTCAAAGTCCTTCATTTTGTTTCATTTGGTGGTTGTGGTTGCTGTTTTCAATTTTGCAGAAGCCCCGGGTATCTATTTTGCAAAAAATTAAACACCTTCTAGTCACCAAAAAGATTGTTTGAGAAGAAAGCGCTCTAGTCACCAAATTCATACTGAAATGTAAAGAGCTAAGAACTACTAAAGGTACCCTTCTTCAAGGGCAGTTGATGCCTAAACAGCAGCTGAACTGCTCCTTGTCACTGTTAGCTGCTGCCCAGTACCATCAGCTCAGTAGGTCTCCGCGCAGGAACAAAGCACTGCGCGGTCCTGTACAGCTCTGGGCCTCGTTGGGATCTAACGGTTGTGATCCGCAGGGTCTTTATGGAAAGATTTTCACAAGTAGATCTCCAGGCTCTTCTTCCCCACCTGTCTTACTGGGAAAGCACTGCCGAAAGCTCTGCAGCATCATAGCATCGCACAAGTTGCCACTGGACAGACAGCGGATGGCTTTGCTGTACCTAGTCGTTGAATCTAGGGCTTGCACCTGAAAGGGAATTCTGCCAGCGAACCACCAACAAAATGCCTCGTGAACCATGCCCTAAGCAGTGGAGCTTGAGACAGTGGTTGGCATGATGAAGTGGGTACTTGAAGGTTGGAAAGCTCTCTCTATCCTTGAGTCTCCTGTGCATTATTGGTCAAAGATCTGAAAAGTCTCTCAGTCCACGTGGCTTTGTTTCTTGTTGCTTTTATCTTCTTACCATGCTCCGTGCTTCATGTGCTATTTCCCCAGTCCCTCTGCTCTTCATGTTGGGACCAATCTACATGTTCCAGGCTGGGCTCGGAGCAAGACCTAGACTGACGTTGGTTTTGAATCCCCCACACTCCTCCTTCCTGTTTTTCCCTCTTTTCACCTTAGCAAACCACCTTGCTACTTCATCTTCACATCATTTGATTTTAAATATCCCACCACCCAAAGCTGCTTCTCTAAATGTCAGGCTCCTCCTTGCTTGGGAAGTGTGTTTGAAATGCGGAACCTGCCATGGCTTCCTGATGTGGAAAGAAACCCTCTCCATCCAGGAAGGGGAAAGGCGAGCTTCCCGAGAGGCAGTGGGAAATTCAGAAGGCAGAGATGGTCTTGTCCAGTTAGAAGAGCCGAGTTTAAGTTATGAGACAGCTGGCCTTCATTTCCTCTATCTGAAATTCTACCTTGAATTGAAGTAACTCCTGTGCCTTCTAGGGACTTAAATGAAGCCTGTGAGGCCAAAGCCGCCACTTCAATTGGTCAGCTACGTTTCGGGAAAATTCTTACCATCCAGCAGAATGGCCAGGTCATTAGAAATAGAAAAGCCAAGAGGTTGCCAGCTGCTGTGCTCTAGTTGGTAGGTGGACCAGGGGCTGCTGATATCTCTCTGGGGATGTACCCGCTTGTTTTGTGACTTCAGTTTTAAACCATTTAAAATATAGTCCGTCTTTCATTTGGACAAAAAAAAAAATCTTGAGAGTCTTGCGTACATTGTGTGCTGTGGGGAAGAGGCGAAAGAATAAAGCAATGTCTCAGCCTCTAAGAGGCGTACAAACTAGTTATCTAAACCTTTTGCCTTTCGAAAGTGTTCGGAAAGCCTGGTGGGAGCGTGAGGGAAGCTCTATGAAAATGATGTTAATGGAGGTCTGTGCTGGTGTCCACTGTGATTACGGACTTTTCTTATACAACTGCTGCAACACAAGGCCCATTAACACCTGGCCCACCCCACCCCCACCGCCCCCACGCCCCTTCCTGAACAGCCGCCTTCCTGAGAGTTGGTACATGGAGATGTCAATTGATCTCCACCTCGGGTGAAGCTAATAAATGTGATTTAGGATGAAAGGCACTGTGTAAATGCTTGCCATGTTGTTATCACTGTTCTCATACACCTGATTATTTTTAAATTGTGCCTCCTTTTAAGTACCTTATTTGTTCGCCACAGTCTCCATTATATCTAAGCGAAGCATTCACAGAAATTTCTAAAACCTTTTCATTTCTCTCTGTAGGTTGTTGTTTCGTAACATTTTATACAAGAAAAGCTGCACTTGAAGCCCAGAATGCACTGCACAATATTAAAACTTTACCTGGGGTGAGTCAGTTTACTTTTGTACCAAAATCACTTTATTGCTTGAAAATGGTCCCTTTTCAACTGAAGGTTTGCGTTATGGGCTCTTAGTGCCCAAAATGACTCTGGTCTTTGGAGGTGTGTGCGATGCCCTCTCTGTCCCCAGACAGCAGCCAAACCCATTGACGCCGCATAAAGAAACACCAGCATTCGCGCCCAAGGAAAGAGCTCTCAAGTAGCATCTTCCCTGGTTAGGAAATCAGAGTGACCCCACTGGGTAGCCGCAGCTGCCAAAGAGTGTTGGGTGGGCTTAGACTTTAAAAGGAAAAAGAGAAACACACACACACACACACACACACACACAGGAAGCAAATGGAAAAGGAAAAGCTTTTACTCACCAGGAGCCCCTTTTCAAATTTAGTCTTTAGATTTTCTTTTGAAAGAGCAAAATGTACCCTGTACAGCCATAATATTAAGCCTCCTAATGGTTTCTGAACAGCCAATGGTGGTTAACAAAGTCAATGTTTTAATGCCCAATTTGTGGCTTCATGTTGATACAGGGCAGAAAAACACAAAGCTTACCCTTTTTTTTTTTCCATTTCCTTCCCAACAATATTGGATGATTAGTCCAATTCACTAGAAGTGAACTGAGGTTCAGTATAGCTACTCCACGAGAATAAATTATTTCTAAAGGCTTTTTGGCAATTTTATGTATTGTATGGTGGTATAAATTTCCCTGTGCTACTGGGCTCTCTTTCCCCATTGGCCCGAATATCAGGGATGAGTTAATTCAGCGTCATAATGATATGCATTGGTTATAATGTCGAACTGCGATAAGCCGTGCAGTGATAATGATTTTATTGTAACTTGGTGTGATAAGAATAACAGAAAGAGCATGTATTGTCCCTAATGCTTTACAGGATGTAAATTTACCTTTGTGTCATTTATCTGTCTCTGTACATACGCTTGAATACCTGTGCATGTGGACACACTACTGTATGCACACATACATTTTATAGCCTGTTGCCCCAAGAAGAAAATTCATTGGAATCATTGAACAGGTCGCGGTGTTTGTAGTGGGGCGATGCCCAAGAAAAGACCTACAAACCATCAGATCCTTAATCACCCCAAAGTGAACAAAGTATGAACCCTGGTCTGAGTCACCCCACTTTTGTTTTCCACTTTTCATGTGGGCCAATCAAATAAAAGAAGCGTCAGAGAATGTGTGGTAGGTACCTGGAGTCTGTTAGCCTCCCAGTTGTAGTTAATCGCTTCCCCTGAAACTATTAAGGGTACTTTTTAGTGAGGTTGTTTTTATTAAGACTTTCTTTGCTCAGTGACCTTTAAAAATGTTATGGTATTGTTTCAGCTTTATTCTCCATATCAATGGGGTTTTCCCCCAGGTAAATTCTAGGAAATGGCAATGTTGAGTCACATGACTGAACTAACACAACCAAGGAAACGATTTACTCGTTCAGCCAATGATTGAGGAAAGTAGTTTTTGTTTTCCGGGCTCACATATCATCTTGTGGGTCTTGCCTTAAAGCAGTGGTTCTCAACCTGTGGGTTGTGACCCCTTTGGAAGTCGAACAACCCTTTCACAGGGGTCCCCCGATTCATAACTGTAACAAAATTACAGTGATGAAGTAGCAACGAAAATAATTTTATGGTTGGGAGGCACCACCACATGAGGAACTGTATTAAAAGGTCACGGCATTAGGAAGGTTGAGAACCACTGCTAAAGTATTTTTAGAAGAATCCTGATCTACAAGGGAAGGAAATGCAGAACAATTTCAAATTTTTGTGTATTCCAACTATTGGAGCCATGAAGGCCGAGAATGTACTGCTGAAATTCTCATTCTGAGATACTCTTACCCTTAAACCAGAAATATCCCCTGAAATCTTCTCTAATTCAGTCATTTAACAAGGAATATCTTCCTGGAGCATCATGCTCTTCCAAGAATTCGCTCCATGGGATCAAAGTGACAAGAGTCATGTGAAAGGTTAGATGGGAAATCTGGAGGTCAGTGAATTTATGTTAATGAGGGACCTGTGCATGCTAATGAGAAAGAAGGAGGGAAGGTGAGAATGGTTGCATAATGGCACATGGAGAAACTGCTGAATTAACTGGTGTGTGTTTTGCAGTAGATATCCTCAATAATGACAAAGTATATTTGTTAAAGTTTCTATCTCAGTTTAAAAGAGGAAAATAGCTGTCACACGAATTCTATGTAGAATGACTTGAGATAATGAATGATATTTAGCACTTGGAATATGATTTTTCTGACCAACCACATCGCATTGTAAGTCATACCAAGCGTGGTGAGCCTGGGCACTCAGCCCTTCCACGGGAACCAGTGTGTCCAACACACATCTTCATCTGGGAAGCGCTCTGAAGGAACCGTGGCTGAGCCTCGGGCATGCTGAGATACACAGAAGTGACTGCGGAGGCTTTGCTCCTGCCTGTTGACATCCTATTCTGACCCCTGTCTTAAGAAGAAAAGACTATCTGTACCATTAAACATGCACAGCCTGGCTGGAGCTCTCAGGAAGCTCAGCCCTGCTATCTGCAAGGCTGTGGTTCAAACCCACCAGCCACTCTGAGGGGGAAAGTTGAGGCTGTCCACTCCCATAAAGATTTACAGCCTCAACAACTTTGTATAGGGTCATTATGAGTCAGAGTTGATTCAATGGCCATGGATTTTTGTTGTTCTTTGGGGGTGGGGTGGGGTTGGGGAGTAGTGTGTATGTATTCTCTCAGTCTCTCTCTCTCTCTCTCTCTCTCTCTCTCTCTCTCTCCCCCCTAATGCCTAAAAATTCTGCATGCAAAATTCAGGAGACCCATTACTAAGAACAATGTTTGTATTGGAAAAGAGGTCTTCTACTCAGGGGTTGTTTGTTTGTTTGTTTGTTTGTTTTTTCCGGTTCAGTTTTACATGCCCACTTGTTTATGAAAACCTTGCAAAGTCAGATCTGTTTTGCAGGCTCATAGCCTTGACTAAAGGACATACATTGTGGCTACATTGGCCATGTCAGGGGAGGTAAGTGGGAACAAGAGAGGTCCACATCCTGCTTTGATGTGTAGCTTTACCTGATACCCAGCAGCAGGCACGGAAAACATGAAAGTCAGCACCTCCCAGCTGTGAGCTTTGGTGGTCAGGAAGAAATGGGACCAACATAAAAGATGAATGCAGATTCTTGGGGAAAAACTATAACAGGGTGCCTTGCTGTTTGATTACAAGCCTTGGAATTAGTCAACATTTCCATAATTCTAAACCAATATACACCTGTTTTCCCACTGTGATGTGAAGGCACAACTTAATTTAACAGAAGCCCTGCTGTGCTAAATCTCTCATTAAATACCAAGCGAGTTCGGTAATTTAAAGTTGTAGCACTACCATTTTAACTGGTTGCCTTCATATTATGAAATTAATAAGAAATTAATGATGCACTCTGCCATATGCTTCCAATTTCTTTCTGAAGGAAAAATAAAGAGGGATGAAGAAAAATGCATCACCGCTGACACTTTAAAGCCTCCCTGGTTGTAATCATTTTCCTGGGGATAAAATCCATTAAAAAGGCACTTGCTGTCTCCTTTCTGGAGTGTCCAAAACTTTCCATCTACACCAAGATCAAACAGAGCTGTTTTCTTTTTTCCCCCCTCCTTTACTTAATTTTCTTTTGTGGTTGATATTTTGTAACATAAGGAACTTTTATCATGCCACCAAACTGGGTTAAGTTTGGGGTGTTTGCATGCCCCCTTTATGTAGTACCCCTTATCTGTCTTGGAAAGAGGCCTTGTGGTGCAGAGAGTTAAGCCTTGGGCCATTGCGGTGAGCCACAGGTTTGGGGTTTCAAACACACCTACCACCTCACTAGAGAAAGATGAGGCTGTTTGCGCTTGGAAAGATGTAGTCTCGGAAGCCTGAAGCAGAGGTTCTACTCTGCCCTGCAGGGTCACTCGGGGTGAGAATAGGCTCAATGGGCATGGGTTTGGGAATCGCACAGAACTTGGTTTGCATGAGAAAGATTAAAGAAAAGCTGGTGGAACACTCTACTGTGCCATTGAATGTGTATATCACATATGGACTATGCAGATGCAACATATGGTTGACATGGGTGGGGATTGATAGAAGCGAGGGATTAGGACCTTAGAGAAGGGATGAAGTAAGTATGCCTGTCTCTAACCATGGAACTGAGAAAGATGTTGCACAAATGCTAGAAATAGAATGTTAGAAACAAAGGGGGCAAACATGACAGATCAGTGTCAAGAATGTGGAGGGGGAGTCTGGGGTCATCTCTGGGGCTACATCATCTTCCCACTTCTCTAGACATGGCTGCTTCACTATGAAGCAGCAAATCAACCCTGAAGTACAGTGCCTTCATAATGACTGGTATTTCATTTACAGACACTTATTGAATGCCTCCTGTGTGCCGGGCACTAAGCTTAGATCTTGACAGGAAATAGCAGAGATCAAAGCCATATGGGACCTCTGCGCTTATGAGGTTGACAATCTGGAAAGATGGGGACAGTAAACGATTTGGTTTGCTTGTGGCAGAGTGCTGGTCCTCCCTCTGTCAGGATCCTCAGCAGGTTGTTTCCATCACCTGCGTAGGGCAGTGTGACCATACCTGCACAGGTAGGGCGGTTTGGTTAGCCTTCCGGTGGGGCGCACCACTGCTAAGCTGCCTTTTCCCCACAGTTGCGCCATTGTGCCCTTGGTTTTTGGCTGGCCATCCACTGGTGAAAGATGAGGCTGTCTGTTTTTTAAAGATAGACCGTCTTGGAAACCTGAAGGAGCAGTTCTGCTCTGACCCAGAGCGTCACTGAGCCACAGTGGACTCAGTTCCCATGGGTTGGCCCACCTTGAGCCTATAGCACTGTCCTTAGAGTGAGAGCCCTCTGTGGGGGGTTTCAGGTGGGCCCAGCCGAGCGGGTAGGAACATTCAGTAGAAATGCCATCATCTACCATGTGTGGTGTCTTCTAGAGAGAAACCCCTACAAAAGCAACTGCCAGACTCGT